CTTACCTCCTTTAAAGGCATAAGATATTTTATATGATCAACAGTTTTTTTTTGGTTGACCCTATAAAATATTTTAAATTTAAAATTAATTTTTTATATTTTAAATAAGTATAAATCAAAAAAATATTTTTTAAAAAATATTACGTCAAAGTAAAGGGACCGTTAAGGTTAGATCTTTTTCAAAGAGAAGGTTAAGGTAAGGGGTTTGGAATTGTTGGGCGGAAGAGAGTTTGTAAATCGCAGGGTTCATTTTGGCTTGTACATTACGCAGAAGTATAAACCTCTTGAGAAGGCAAAAGTAATTTTATAGTGCTATGAACGTGGGCTGGCTCTCTCCACCGACCTAGCATTACTGTACAAAGAATTTTCCGTCCGTTTCTTTATTTAGTTCAATTTTCACATTAGAGAATCCAATAGTAAAGGAAGTGGGTGGCACTGGGCCCTGACAATTGGCTGTCCGCCCTTTTATCATGAATAAACAAAGCTCTGGGTTGCGATGTGGCAGAAAGTGGGAGTATTACGGCTAATTTTAGGCTTTCAGCCACCTTTTTCCCAGGCTTAACAACTGTACACAGCTGAATGGAAACCTCACTGGACCTTCCTTTCCTTTTGTATTCACATCCCAACGCTACTTGAAAAATGGAGTCCAGCTCCCCAATAAACCTCTTCACCAGTGTATTGTTTTCAGAAGAATTAGATGCAACAGGCCAGGAAAACCTTCAAATGGTGCAGAATAACTATATGGTATACAATTACTGCACAGACACCAAGAGATTTCCTCGAAGGCTTGCCTTCCCCATGCAACGCAGTATAGAGAAATATACTATAATACTACAATTCAATTTTTTTTCATTTGTTTTCTTGTTTCTAGGTTTATTCTCCATGATTATTATTTAAATACACCTAATAGTATGTTTCTTTTATTCTTTGACGTTCTTCGCTTCGAAGTTGTAACATAATGAAATGTGTATACACCTCAATTTTTTCCTTTTTCCCTTTCTTTTTTAATTTTGATAAAAGATATGTTTTTTCATAAAAACAAAAGACACTAAAATAGTATTTAAAACGAATAGATAAGATACTTTCAAAAAATTTCTGGTTTATCCCACTTATAGTCTAATTCATACAAAAATAATAATAATAAAGAGGCAAATCCCAATGCTCTTCCTTTGGAGCCTGGTTATAACTGACTGCCACGTTTCTAAAGAGATTCACTTCAGCGTACGAGTTAATCGATTAATTCATTTGTTTTGATAATAAAAAATTCTAAGTTTGAATATTGATGGTGTTTTATAAATATATTCGGAATGTAAATCTCCACAAAGATATTGAAAAAATTTTACATCTATACTTTATCTTAATATTTTACAATCTGCCTCAATATTGTCAATAAAAAAAAATAAATGGAGCACATTCCAATTCAAATAAACAAAATAAACCTGCAAATTAACTTGCATGATAAGAAACAACGTATTGGGGGCAGGTCACCTAATATTTTTATGAGAAACTATGCCAAGGCTGGTAATATTCAAGGAATTTGGATTGGGTGAGCTGAAACTTTGACTCGCAGAGTCCTGAAAGGAAAATGAAATAAGAACGTCGGTGCCGAAAGGCGATAATATAATATCTATATATACATGCAAAACGATTGCCCAAAACAAAATAGTGAGTTCTAATAAAATAATACTTATAATAATACAGTTGCATAAGCAAGTATAAAATTATTTCTATGAATAAAAATATATATAAATTTCAAGCATTACAATTCATATTGCACACGTAGAGAGTGCAAACTTGAATAATTAACAATTATTTTTAATTTTCAACTTTCTTTTTAGTAATTAAAATGGCATTTGTCTTAATGCTGCCTCCATGATAGTTGTTCGTGGTGGATGCGCAAGGTAAGTGGCCCGGTTATTTAAAAAGGAAAATCTAACTTGGTGAAGGTGAATGGTGATTGTGACAGGAGAACTTGGCAGCTACAAGGCAAACGCGACCTTCCTTTGACAGCAACTTGGCATTTTC